GCAGGTGCAGCCGCAGCTGCCTTCAGCGCGCGTTCCTCCTCCCTCAGGCCGCGTAACGCCGGCAACCGTCACAGCCGAACAGCAGGACCGGCAGCCGCAGTCGGTCGCGCGGGCGGCGGAGAGACTTGATCGTACCAGCGATCACGGCTTGGCGCCAGGTTTCTGAAAACAGCACTGTTGCCTCCACACCTTTTTTTTCTTTGGACCCCGTTTGAGCGACCCCCCCCACTACGACCTTCCGCCTTAACTTAATGTACAGATCGTTTCTTTCACCCGAAACCCGTCGACGCAGGTCCAAGCGCGACGACGTTCGAAGCCGCCGACCCACTCGGAATCCGGGAAGCCATCGGCAAGGTTGGCGGTCTGACCCCTCCCCCCACATCCTTTCGTTCTATGAGTACCGCCTCTCCAACTTCACTGTGGCGCGCCCACCCTCCTCGTTCCACGATAAAAACACTTACCCTTCCACCCAGGTCCGCCACTCCACCGACGAAGCGCTGGCACTCATGCGCCAACTGACCGCGCTCCTCAACTCTCAACCTCCCGCGTCGCCTTCCTCGGGCTCCACGCAGCAGCAGCATGAGCAGCAGCAGCACCGCGCGCTGGAGGCGTGCGCAGCGCTCCTGGAGACGTTGGACAAGGGGGTGAGCGCGATGACGGAGGATTGGGCGGCGGTAGAGGCGCTGCGGGGGTTGCGGGGTGGCGGGGGGGAGGAGGTGGCGGTTCAGCGGGAAGAGGAGAAGGAGGGAGGGCCGGGGAGGGGCGGCGAGAGTGACGAGGGCGAGGGGAGGGTGGGCTGAGGGTGTTTGGTTGGGGGATTTGGGCTTTAGGTGGGACAAAGAAGGAAAAAAAATTGTGGACTCGATGTCTTTCTTGGACGATGTCTTACCCGGTGGGGGGACTCACCGAATTCTTGATACCGAGGCAGTCCTCTCATACACTGCGAATTTTATTTATTTTTCTATTTTTATTTTTTTTTATTTTTTTTTTTTAGGTTCCTCCCAAGTGATTGGATGGCGGGACGCGACGAACACGCCGCGTCCCTGTGGCCCGATTTGGAGCGACTGCGGCAGGGCAGCAAGCATCCAGGAGATGTCGGAGGAGGCGAAAGGGCGGCTGTGGTCGATCCCTCAAGAGACGAGGAGGAAGGGGCGAGGTAGAGATGGCAACTGAAACGCGGTGCAACTTCGTTTTTTTGGGAGGAGGGGGGAGGAAAGAGAATCACAAACTGTGGAAGAAGAAAACTGCTCATTTAGATGAGTCAGCGATAACCAAAATTACGCAATTCCGTTGGTGCCTCGTCAGCGTCACAACTTCTTCTAGTGTGGATTTTTGTAATTAGTCACTGGTTGCACATTGTTTGCCAGGGTTCGTCGGAAGCGGTTTTTGATTCTTTCTATAGAATTCACGGCTTAATCATTTGAGCATTTTCGATTAGCAGAGCAGAAAAATCCAATCGTTCGGTCCCCAGAAGAAAACGAAAATAACATGCCTTCCGCGCCGAAGACTGAGGACGCCGACGCAGCCAAAGACGGGCAGCAGGCGGCCGCTGGCCAAGCTGGAGAGGGTTCGGAGGCGTTCGTGCGGCCGGCGGTCCGCGCCAACAGCAACCCCCCCACATCTATCCCGCTGGAGGACGCCAAAGGTACGGAAGGGACTATCCCCTTGATGCAGCTCTCGTAGCAGTCGTCCTTACAGTGGTCACTCCCCTCCCCCACTCCGACTGTCTGCCCATGTAGCTCCGCAAGGCGATCAGCACGACCAGGCTGCGGCACGCATCCGCAGCACTATCCAAGGGGTAAGCCCTTGCAATCCAACCCCACCCTTCCCCCGTGCATCCAACCCTAATCCGGCACGATGGCACTACATCCCTTCCCTCCCTTGCCGTTCATGTAAAGCAGGTGCAGCGCTCGACGGATCAAGCGATGAGGATCATGCAAGAGCTCGTTGCAGTCCGTGCCCTCACGGAAGCCACGCTGACGGACCAGCAGAAGCGCGCGATCGACGACTGCGCGGCGCTGATGGAACGGCTCGTTGGCGGCGTCGCGGCGATGTCAAGCGAGTGGGAATCGGTGCAGACAGCTGGTGCGAAGTCCGACGATGGGTGAATGAAGGTTTCGGGTGGGGCGGGTTTGAAGAAGGGCGGGGGGCACAACCAAAAGCGAAAACTGAGGTTTCCCAAGAGGGGAAGAAACATCCGAGCCGCTTGCTTGTGACAAATGTTACTTGCCCAGTGCAGAACTGCCCAATTCTCCACCCCTACCCTCGCCCAAAAAGGCAAGCTGTTTTCCGCTCTGCGGCCAGTGTTTCGATTTCGCCTCCCAAAAGAAGGAAGGCCCGAGAAACACGGCGCCCCACCTGCACGCAATCGTCTGACTTGACGGCACCTACGCCAACCACGACTGCGGCGAACCCAGGCGGACGGACTATTCGACGGAGCGGAGCTGGGCGGCTTCTGACAAGTGCAGGTGCAGACGGATCGCCGATGTCTGCCGTTGAACAAATCGATGAACAATCCATCACCTGATGCGGGCGGCCGGACAGATGGGAGAGTGATAAAGAACGGCCTGGTCCAGCCCTTTTTTTGCATCAAGTTCAGCCTCACTCCGCTTACTCGATGCGGGGCATTGGTTGCGCGAGAACCTGCAGGAGGGTTTTTACAGGGTCTCCAAAATAAAGGTAACAGCTCAAAGAGAAAACGCGCCGAGCGCCAAGTGTTGAAGAAATGCTTTGTCCTACTATTCTACGAGACAGTTTGAGATTGTGTGGTTCTAATTGGTTTATTGAATGACAGTCCCTTTAGAAAAAAGCTCGATCTCCACACTCTGGAGCAAAATCCACAAGTGCACTTCAGTTGTCCTTCATGAATCACTTCATGGGTGTCTTGTCAAGTGAGTGGTGCATTGAGGGTGAAGACATTTGTCTAGATGTGCAAAAACGCAACTAAGACCTTCTGACAGACCCGAAGACAAAAGTGTATATCTCTACTCCACTTGTCCAGCCAATCAAATTGCAGGAGGGCTGTTCCAAATCCGGACCAAAAAGTTCTTTGTTTGCTCGCATTTTGGAACTGGGGATTGTTGGAGCATTGTTCATCCCTCGACGTGAACGGAAAAAAAAAAGAAAAAAAAAAAACCAAGGCCACCTGGAACCGAAAAGTGGGAAAAAAAGAGAACGTCGAACGGGAAATGCGCTCCAGCAAATCTCATTTAAATTAAGCGATGGCGGATAATCAATCGCCTGCGGAGCGAACTTGCGCGGTGAACGTGGAGCGGGCCGCGCCACCGCGACCGGCCGCGCCTTCACCAATGTCAGATGGAGCGCAGAGACCAACAGGAGCGACCACGACCGCGCAACAAACACCTTGTGCTCTCCCTCAAGCAGCGCCGACGCAACATGCGTTTCCACACCAGGGAGATCCCCTTGGAGAGTTGAATCCACCCGTGCTGCCCGCATCCAACGACGGGACTTCCGGCTCAGTTCCAGATCGAGGGAGTGACGGTGAGTGGACCCTTAAAGAACAAGCAGTCGCCTCATCCCTCCGTGAATCATTACAAAAGACGAAAAGGAGGCGGTCAACAACATGCGAGCTGCCATCGCCAGGGTAGGTTACGTTTTGATCTATTTCCTCTATTCACGTGTTGTGACTTTATTGTTTTTCTCACACAAACAACCCTAAGATCCGAGGCACAACCGATCAAGTTTTGCGCATCATGCAGCAGCTGGCAGACATCGCCCAAGGGGAGCTGTCGCTCGACGAGGAGCAGAGGCGCACCTTTGACACCTGCCAAGCACTGATCGCGAACCTTGAAAGAGGCGTCTCGGAAATGGAGGAAGATTGGGATAAAATCGAGGCGATGAAGAAGGGCGGGAAGAGCAAATGAACGCTGATGTATCTTTGAGCTGTTTTGCAGGCAACAGCATCTCCACGTAACATTTTCTGCGTTTTGTACTTCGCCTGGTATGGTTTTGTTCGAAGGCAGACTCTGACGCTGGTTCGGGAATTGACGCGGAAATGAACGGGGAAGGGCGAACCCCTTTGTGGCTGAGTGATCCGTGGTGTGATGGAGATGGTGGGAGCGCGAGAACAAAAAGACCACGAGAACAAAAAGACCCCTCCGTGCCGCGATGATTGGCGCCACCGAGAGAGCCTCGCCAACACCATCAAAGTCCAAGTCGGGAGGTAAGACTGCTGAAAGCGACCCTTGCTCGTTCAGCAGCGGGCGCCCCGTCCGACGGCCGTCGACACTTCTTCTTTAGGCTGATCGTTCCCCGCTTGCGGTTCAACGGACACCAGAGCCTGCCGATCCAGCTGCGCAGCAGCACTCGGACGCTCCCGGAGCCGATCATGCGGTGAACAATCGTGATCCGGCGATCACGCAAAAGCCGGACGGTGAGCAGTAAGAGATCAAGACTTGCGTTAGGGAAGGCTCGAGCTCAGTCTCTCTTTTTCACCCGACTACTACTGGTTCTCTTCCTGTGTCCAGCGGGCCGTGATCCTCAAGAAGCAGCGATCGAACACGTTCGAAATGCAGTCAAAAACGTAAGCGATCTCAACATGATCCTTCCTTCCCTTCCTCCCTCCAAACCTGCCACTGCACAGAGGAGTGCGATTAAAAAAAAATAAACAAAAAAAAAAACACCTTCCCACAAGGTCCGCGCCACCACCGACGAAGCCATGAAGATCATGCAGGAGCTCCTTGCGCAGAAGAGCGATCCGGGACTGGACGACATGCAGAGGAGGACGATTGACGGGTTTGCGGCCATGCTGGAGAAGGTGTCTGCGGGCGTCGACGAAATGGCGGAGCGCTGGGAAGTGCTGGAGGCACTCGGCGCGGCCGGGGCGAAGAGGTGGTGAATGTGTTGCTTAGGGATTCGAGAATGTGGGAGTGGAAATAAAGCTTGGTTGGTTTGCATTTGACGAGTTGGGCAGTGGAATCTGTGAAAGGGAGGTTATGAACTGTTTAATTATTATTGTGTAAACGAGAATACAAGCCATGGCCTTCTTAGCTCAGCTGGCAGAGCGTATCCCTCGTACCCATTGTGTCAGGATAAGGTCGTCGGTTCGATTCCAGCAGAAGGCAACCCTAGCCTCTTTTTCATAGTGACAATTTTTTTCTAGAAAACGCAAACGATCGTGTTGGTCCACATACTCCTGCTGACTGCTACTATCTGGCATGTTCGGCTGAGATCGCGCTTCACAAGTCCGTCAAGGCCTACCACGACCTCGCACTGGCGTCGACATCGCCGTTTGTCCAAGGCTTCAACGGCTCACCAGGGCTCGGGCTTTGGTCCATCTCAGGGGTGATTCGCATTACAAACAGCAAAGACTGCGTTTCAGCACGTCAGGGTGTCGTTGGACTTGAGCACTGACATGGCGAGCAAGCACGGCTCAAGCGTAGATCTCGTTAAGGTCGTCACACTGAATTGGGCCAAGCATCAGGTGAGATGGCGTCTACTTGACGCTCAACAACGATGGCACAGCGACGCCGATCAGCTTGCCCAGGACTTTCACGGCATCAACTCTGCAGCTGAAGGTGGTCTGCTCTCTCCAGCTCCCCCTTCCAGACCACAATCCACCTCATTTTGGATCACTGTCATTTGGCGTCTCCTGAATGGAGCTGGAGAATTTTTTCCTTCCTTTCTCTTGCTTCCTATTGGAAAATGAAGGAAGGTTTTAAAAACAAGAAACCAGAAATTTACACCTACTGCTGTTTGTGATGCTGCTGAACAACAAATATGGGGAAGAAAATGTGGTCAAATCCCACCCAGTGTCAATCACACTTATTATGTCACATACCCGCTCCCAGTCTCACGGTCTCGTCCTTGGCATGCCTCTCATTCCTCTTTCTCTCAATAGGCGTCGCCTCTTAAGCATTTCTACCAGCGGCCAGTAGACGGGGACAGCGGGGAAGAGGCAGACAGGGGAGGAGAAGTAGCGGCTCCGGGTAAGCCAGCCAAAGCCATCCCTGTCGTCGTCGTCGTCGTCGGCGAGGTAAGGACGGTTGGCATCTGGTTTCCTCAGGGGGGAGGCAGCGGCGAGCGGCGGCGGCGACGGCAATTGCCATTCCTCAATACCAGCAGGCGTGGTCGGGGTGCTGGCCCTGCCAGCGGTGTTGGCCGCGCTCCGCCCCCCCCCTCATCATCAAAACAGCAGCAGCAGAAGTAGTAGCAGCATCAGGGGCAAATCCGTGACTGCAGCCTCGGGAACCCCCTCCTCCTCTCCGCACCTCCCTTCGTCCGTGCGACCCCATCCCACATCATCGCCATCATCAACACCGAATCCAACCAGGCCTGTTCACGCGAAGCCTTCTCCCGCCGCACCCGCCGTTGTTTCAGAATACAAACTTCTTTCGTCCGGCAACGTTGGCCTAAACCACATCGTGAGAATACAGAATCAGAACCACGATCTGACAGAGATGAAGCACCCCATCATCATATCTCGCCTCTTTCCCGAAGCCGATCTGGGCCTTCTTGCAGAGCCTGACGCGCCTGGTGCGGCTGATGGACCAGTCGCCGAAAAGATGGATTCGTCAAAGGTTTCCCCCTTCGGATCAAAGCAGAGTCGCAGCCAGCCTTTTAAGAAAAAGTCTAGGCAGCTGTTCATGGGAATCACCCCGGAAGGCGGCGATCCACTCAAACGCGGGAGGATAAAAGACCCAGATCGATTCCTTGGGCGATGACCTCCGCAAACAATCTGGAGTTGATCGGACACGCTGAAAACCAAAGCGCGCAGTACATGCTGTTCATCGTTCCCAACGTGGGTCGTCGCTTGCTGCTCCCATTTCATTTCTGCTTCTTTTCTTGAGCTGGCACCGAAAGCGACCCAACAAACCCCTTTCCTCCAAACTCTCCCCCCGCGTCCACAGAACGAGCCAGGTCGCCCGCCTGTGGATGGACTCCTCGTGCAGCCTGCCGCAAAGTGGCATAAAGTATCAGATAATATCCACTGAAGAGGCCGAGGCGTCTTTGAAGAAACTCGAGCGGGGCGGTCGAATGCCAATCAAAAAGGAAGAATCCGTATGTTAGAGCCCCCATTACGCGTTTTTCCAGATAAAGAACTATTTCTTGCCGCATTCAGCTGGTAGAAACGGCGGAAAAGATTGACGGCATCAAGCTAAAGAAAGAAGACCTCGAGCTCATGAACTGGCAGCTGAAGAAGACTCAAATTCGGGCTACTAGCGAGTTCATTAAGTAAAACCTTCTTGCTGCGATTGCTAGAGAGGTATTGAGTGAATTAATTGCTGGTTTTTCAGGAACGAAGCGAAAGCCAGAAGAGTAAACGAGAATAAGGATTTAGAAGAAGAGCTGGATTTCGACGAGGCTGTGTCAGACGATGAAGATATTGATTTCGGCATCGAAGATGAGCAAGTGGCGAAGCAGGCTAAGCAGCGAGAATTTGGCACGAAAATAAACAAATTTCGACACAGAGAGAGCATCCACTCCGCCCTCATGTAGTAGGCAGACTTTAATAAGCCACGACGCCCTCGTCAGAGGCAACCTCTTGTTGACAATCTCTTGAAGGAGCTCGGTCTTTGTTCAGGGGAAAAGCGCAAATTATTCTCTCGAGATGGCTCCTCGGGAGGCAAACCTTGGTTCTGTCGGGACGACCGCAGACAATGTTCGCATGGGGACATTGGGCTGAGAAAACTGAGACATCCAGTTTAAGTTGCATGCTTGCCGCACGGGTGCTTGAAAAGAAGTCGCCCTGAAAGTCATTCAGTAAGATGCTAAGGTACAATTCAATAAAGACAAGTCCTACTGACGGTAAAATTTTCTGGTACTGCTGCTTCACATGACTGACTTCGGCTGCAAGCTTTTGCAGTTTAAGCGTTACGCCTTGGTCGGACATGATCTTGACCCTGTATATATCAAATGCCAATAGGGTCTCATTCCAAGAAGACTCTGTGAGAACTGCGATGCACGGACCATCGAGAAGAACTACATGCAGCGGGTTGGGCATAAATCCCTGTCGCATGTTGCTCTCCGGCAAGACATCTTCGTCCTGGCCGGGCCGCTGAGGAAATACATCCGCGAAACCTGCAGAGAAAATGAATTGGTTAGAAAGCGCCTGGGGTGCTCCCTTGACTTGCCTAGTTTGCCCGTCACGTCCAGCTGACGGTGAGACGGCAGAAAGTTGCAAATCATTAATGGTGTGAAGAAAACATCTGGGAGCAACGCGTTTTATATTTGGGATTTGCCATGGCATAACAATTTGGTGTGGCCGAACAAAGCGAAAAGGAGGGAAGGAGAAGAAAGAAAGAAGTGGGTTTGCCGCGAGAGGAAGGGATATGGGAATTGGCGGGGAAAGGAAAACGAAAGCAAATCGGAACAATGTTATTGCAGATAAAGCAAAGTCTAGGCTTGCGTCAAGGCGTTTGCGCGGGGACGGACGCCTGTGGGCTCGGCTGCAGGCTGGCTGTTTTGCGGGGAAAGGAAGGGTTGGAGCACCGGTGTAAGTAGTCCGTGTTGAATTAAAATAGAAGACGGTGGGCTAAGGGAAAGGGGCGACGAAGTGGCTCGGGGGAAGGCGATAAGTGGCATAAAAAAGAAAGGCGGGGGGGTTGCGTCGAAAAGGTGAGGGTTTGTGATTCAAGACGGCCATTCTATTCGAGTGGGGAGAGTGAAAAAAGAAGTGGACAACTTTGGCTTACGGTGGTCTAAGTGGCGCGTGGTTGACAAGCGGTTGTCTGGTTTGTTGGAGGCGGATCGTTGTGTAAGTGAATCGCGGGTAGTAAAGCGGGGGGGGGGGAAGAAAAGCAGCGAGTGGTGGCCTACAGTGGGCGATTAAGATTGGGCAAGATCTGCTCGTGGGGCCTATGAAAGGGGGGTGGACAGTACGTATTAGTTAGCAAGTTCGAAACAAGTCGGGGCAAGGACGGACGATGAAAAAAACACTGCAACCAGCCGGAGCAGAAAAAAAAAATTCAAAATTAAAAAAATGCAACCTTCGATCTCGTCTATGTTCTTGCTTGTGTTCTTCTTGCTTGTGCTCTTCTTTCTTCTGGTCTTCTTCCCTGTGTTCTTCCTTCGGAACTTGAGGGTGGTGGGGATCGCGTGGGGCTTGCGCTGCCGCGGCTCCGCCTGCTCCACCTGCTCCGCCTGCTCCACCTGCTCCGCCTGCTCCGCCTGCTTGTGGTCTGCAGGGGATGAAAAGAAGGATCATGGCGGAGATGTTCCAAAAAGGTGTTATTCACTTTTGATCAGAAAAAAAAAATTACTATTCATGCAGAGAAACCCGGCTTACCCAGGTCTTAGCGGCGGGTGGTTGACAAGCTGACTGTTTTTTTCGTGGAGCGTTATCGCGATTGCCAGCAAGGTTCCATGGAAAATGGGAAGCGGTCAAATCGAGCGTTTTCCGACCAAAGGCGTTCCGGGGATCAGGTCTGGTTAAAAACGGAGGAAAAAAGAACAAGAAGAACCCCCACCCCCCCCAAAAAAAAATGAGGGGTGGCTTACACTGGCCCGAAGTTATATTCGATGGGACTGCGAAAACGTAAGTGAGCAGCGCGGAGTCAGACCAGTGTGCGGAGGCTCAGCGCCCCTTCCCCCCTCCCACACACACACACAAGAAATGCAAGAAAAACAGATAGAAACCGTCCGCCGTGTCTATTTCTGTCTGGCCGTGCCGTGACTGCAAGTGCGAGGAAGATCGCCAACAGTAGAACGCCGACAACAACCGTCAACAGGCGGGGCTGGCTCGTGCGTTGCAAGAACATTGTGCTTGTTTGCAAAAAAGAAGTGAAGAAGACCTTGATGGGTAGAGTAGCGAAGTGGGAAGCGCAAGTTGGAGTGCTTTTCTGGCGAGAGAAGCGGAGGCTGCTTGAACCTTCTTTGAGTCTTGACAAGGAACACTCTCAAAAGGTATAAAAGGGGGATGGGGGACCTGTCCCATCCCTCAAGTGAATTATTGTTTCCAAATACAATCATCACTCCTCTCGGTTCCTTGTCTGCCTTGCCCTATCCTGCCATGTTCCTGACAAGTCACAAGTTCTGACTGCAAATGAACTAGTGCAACCATCACAGTCTCCATGGTCCATGTCTTCTGAATTCTTGTCAAAGTCCTTCTGTTGGCTGATTGTCA